GAAAGAGGAGAAAAGATTTTGGCAGGAAAGAAAAGCAGTAAGAGAAGCAGATTTACTAACTACTCACTAAATACACATCCCCCTACTCTTGCATTCAATTACTAATAGAACTTTCTTTTTTTCTTCAGCAGTCTTATATGTGTATGTTACTTACATAGGTTTTCAGCAAGGCAATATCTCCTTCATCCAGAGCTGAAACAAGACAGGAAAGACTTAGGTTCCAATTTTAAAAACAAAAGATTAAAACATGCATTTTAAAGGGATTTTGATGAGCTTCTACTTTCTCACTAAACCAAAGTGGAACAAAAAAGTATCAGACATACAAGAAAAACAAAACAAGGTCTCCAGCTACTCTCTTCAGTCCAAAAATCTGTAGCAGCCAGAGCTCACAGCAAGCAAGCTACTTTGCCTTGCTCAGAGTAACTTACCAACCTATGATTGTACAAAAAAGGAACTGAAGATATCAAAACTTAATCTTTTAAACTTTTTGTTTCTTAATGTTTAAGAAAACACCAATGAAAAACTGTCACCACTTCCCCCAGTTATGTCACTTTTCCAAAATGCCCAGTGGGAGCAGGGAACAGCAACCAAATCTAAGCTGGTCTCAGTAAGAAAAAACCTGGGATCATTAACTCATAAAATGCTGAGTTTTAATATTGTAAAATGTCAAACACGGGAATAGCCATACTAGATCAGATAAACAGTCTGGTCCAATATTGCTTCTCCAGCAGGAAGGTCTACAAACGTGGCAAATCCAGAGTGAGCTCCCACTCCCGGGTCATGTATTGTTATTAACAGCCCTTAAAAATTTTTCCTTACTTTAATATTTCTGTCAATTTTTTTGATCTCTGTAAACTTTCAGCAGCTTTCAGCAGAATATGCAGATAGAAATCCCCTGATTTAAATCAGCATTGTGCTTCCTTTTACTTGACTTAAACTTGGAATCTAAAAATTTCATTTGGGCCTCAGAATTCCTGCATCAGAACAAGCAGCATCAGCTGTTAACTGTGCAAGCTTCTGCACAGTCCTGCAGGACTGCTCCAGTCAACTCTCTCAATTCACTAAAAAAATATAACTCTCTGTTACTGCCACTGCCTGTTTACTTCCATATCACTTGTCATTTAACAGACCCTTAACACTCCCTATCCCTTCCCCCAAATGCTCTCTTTTCCCAACCAAAGGAAAAACATCACAGGAAAAGCTTCACCTTAAGGAAAAGTTTCACCTTAAGCATCCCTGGCCCTCTGTTCTTCTCTAATTCCACTGTATCTTTTTATGATGGAGGGAGCCCAAACCGCAGAGTATTCAGGATCTGGGTGCAGTGTATATTATACAGTATTTCGAGGGGATTTGTGTGTGTGTGTGTGTGTGTGTGTTGATCCTTATTTCTTTCTTGATTATTTGTACTACCACATTGATTTTCTGATATCTAGTAAACACTATGTTATTACAATTTTAAAAAATCTTTCTTGAGTGGGAACAGTTCAAAGTCCATCACTGATTACAGATACTATTGTTTTTGCTTCCAGATGCATTATTTAGCATTTACAAGCATAAAATAAAAAGGCAAATGAAACTCAAACATGAAGAGTTAATGGCAATTTTCACATTATGTCGGTATCACCAGAAAAATCTCCCACCTCACCCCCTCCTGCTTCCACTGAATTACTATGAAGGAGGGTCTGACCCAGGCAGGGTTTGACAGCCGCCTCCGCAGGACTCCACCGAGGAAGAAATATAAATCGTCGCGTTCCATTAGGCTGATCGCTTAACTAGCCATCAAACCACAGAAGGCCTTTCCTTATACACACAGCACACTGGGCTTTTTAGGAGCCTTTTCTCGGAGCCCCCCGGGCAGCCGCGGGACGGGTGAAGCCAGCCTGCGGCATGGGGCTCCCGCACCGCGCCGGGAGGGCCCTGGCACCCCCAGCCCCGATCAGCCCCGTTGCACCCGGCACGGGCAGCAGGATGCGTGGGGCTGGTTTTCCTCAGTTTCCCTCAGAATCTTTTAAAAACAGACTGATGGTCACGGCTAACACCGCACCCCACG